CAGTTCCACAGGGGACAACAGATAAGTTCTTCGACTTCGTGGGTTTCATCATGAGCTATCGTGGGTTGTGTGTGGCTTCTTGATTCTCCTTTATGACGCATGTTATTAACAAAGCCGCGCATGAGCACTGCGTAGGCCAAGCTTGGTTTGATGGGAACGGAGGAAGTAGGTAAAAAGGATAACACCTGGATTGGCAAACTTTTGGCCACGTTAGTGGCCGTTTATTAAATCAATAAAGTGTACAGCATTTATTTGCCAATCACTCATCCCTAAGGAAGAGCTAACCCTTTAAAAGACCTCGTTCTCAGCAAAGGTGAGGGTGAAAACCGCTGGCGAGCCCCAGAATAAGACTATATGTACCGGAGGAGACGGGGTGGAGGAGGGGATGAAATTCTAACACGATGCTTTCTTCAATCGACGTGAAGGGAGAGAAATCGTATCGAGGCATGTGACATCATAACCGTGCGTAGTACCGGAAGCCCCTCAGGCGGAAGTGAGAACGGAGTCATAACAAGCACCATAAAACCATTTATTTTACCGCGTAAAATAAATCTCTTTTTAGCCTTTTAGCCAGCCTTTGCGAACAAGCTGGAACTAGAAATTAACTATAACACACTACGTTGGGATATCCTAGAACAAAATAACTGTTTTTTGGCGCCAAAATGACGTTGCGGTAAGTTTTGTAGCTTTTTGTGGAATTCAGACAATTTGGCAAAAGTTAGGATTAACATTTTCTCGGAAATTTGAAAGTTGCTTTATTGAAATTCAATATCAAGTGACGAGAAGACGTCATTTATTAAAACAAACAAACGAATCGGAACTTCGAAACCCTTAACCTTTCAACTGCAAAAAGCCGAAACTCCGAGAGAGCTTCGTATAAAAATCGAGACTGCGAGACGCACATAACCGCTAAAAAAATGAGACCGTTAGACCCGTGAAATTCGACTAAAATTGTGCGAGACCCAGAGTTTTTGAAGGACCATTCGCCACCCCCCATATTGTGAAAATGTGTACTCTTCGAAATGCCAATGACTGCTTTTTGTGATGATTGTTTCCTCAAAATTAAATTTAAAAAGTCTTTTATTACTTGTGGCGCAGGTGTTACTGAAAAGTAAATGTTAAGCTTTTAGATCACGGGTAGTCTCCATCTTCTTTCAATGTAATGAATGTGTTGACTGGGAAACGGGTCATCAGTGATTCATTTGCTCGTCTTTCTGGATTGTCTGGTTATGTGACCGTAAAAAGAGCTTCATTGGAGGAATCTTAAGAAAATGCAGTGATCAATAGCAATATCCCTTAGACATGTCAGGGACATCTGAATCATTTTGTAATCCAACCAGAATTCAAAGTTACGCCATCGCTCAGAACGTGTCCAACAATATCTACATCATTATCTGTGTAGTAATAAGCGTGATGTGTTCAGTTTTATCGACTTCTGGAAACGCAGTCATCTTGTACGTTCTTCGCAAGTGTCAATCTCTTCATTCTCCATCGAAAGCTTTGTTATGTAGCTTGGCTCTGACGGATCTGTTCGTTGGGCTGATTGTCCTTCCACTGTTTACAGCTTACTACTTGACGATCATTTTGGAAATGCCCGGGTGTTACTGCATTATATCTATCGCGTATGGGCGGACATCAACCTTTATTGCAGGAGTTTCCCTTCAGACTATCGCTACAATTGCCATTGATCGATATCTCGCCTTTCATCTCCGCTTGAGATACCGAGAACTCGTGAAATTCAGACGAGTTGTTTGCATTCTTGTTATACAGTGGGTCGCAACCGCAGTTTGGTCGGGATCCTGGTTTTGGAACGAGCAAGTCAACAAGATTTCTGGAGCAATAGCCTTAACCATTTGTTGCCTTGTGACACTTTTATGCTATCTCAGTATCCGTCGTGGTCTTCGTCACCATGTTGAACAAATTCATCAACAAAACAATTCTAGAGAACCGCCAGTCTCCTTTAACCTAGTTCAATATAAGAAAACTTTGAATAACATGCTATGGATCAATGGACTACTTGTTGTTTGCTATATGCCGTACTTGTCATCTCTGCTTGCTATTCTTAGTACAGGGCTCAATAAGTACACACGGTTTGCCCTGCATTTTAGCGCTATTATAGCATTTTTCAATTCTTTTTTAAATCCTTTTCTATATTGTTGGAAGATCAAAGAACTGAAAGAGAAAGTAATGGCCCTTTTTCGTGCCATGTACAATTTCCTTTCATCTATGTACAGTAGGTTAGCAAACGCCGTTGCTGTGCAACGATCTGCAACTTTTCCAATAACTTAATTAACCACGAATCCACAATGAAATAAACTAGATCCCATAGATAAGGAGTTAGTTACAGGCGATAATGGCAACATTAAACGTTTTATTCTACCTTTTCTTTTTGCTAGGTAAACTGAAATTAGTACTGATGCCCATGAAAAGGTCGCATAACGGCAGCTGCGCAAAAGTTTTCTAGATTAGGATCCATCAAGATATGGCTTATACATTTATTTAAAAGAGTGAATGAGCCGAGAAAATAATTTAACCCAGATCTGTGCTATAGACACTAACATCCAGGGTAATATCACATGACAAATCGGAGAACGGTTTAAGGCCGAGGAAAGATGAATTTTATTCAGTGCACAATAAGACAGAAACACTAAAGGTGCAATGACCGGAAAATTGTACTGTTTTTAATCGAATTTTGACTGCGTGCACTCTTTCATAGAAGCTTAAATATGTCGGATCAAAAATTTTAATGTTATTTTTCTTAAGGCAGCTGCCCCATGTGAACTTTATGTATAATTCGTTTCCATGTAAATTAAGATCGACATACGTAGGATTTCTAAAACATTTGGATCATATCAAGGGAAAACAGGAAAGCAGAAACCTGTTTTAATTTAACATGAAAGGCATGGGAAACTGATGATCAGTGGTGTAGGAAATGGCATATTGTGCAATCAATCGAAGACTTGATTAAAAACCTTAATTATAAGACGACATCCAAACATAATGAACTGCTGTTCCCTTTTTCTTGCAAGATTTTATGAATCAATAATTATCAAAGAAACCGTAATCATGAGCGTGACTATGACAGGCTATCCGCCACTCAAATGCATGCCTTTTTGGCTTGTTCGCATATAAAGCTCTGGTGACTTTCTAGAAACTTCCCTGTATGGTGAACAAGCAAGTGTTAGGATGGTGGCCGCGCGCTCTGTCAGAAAGCCTGCGAACACAGACGTATTTCTGGCTGTCGCTTGACTTCGGCGGAGACAAGCGACAGCCGGAAATACGTCTGCGTTAGCAGGCTACGCGCGTGTAGGCGAGTGCGAACAACAACAACCTCGTTCTCAGGGTCCAGGGAGAGGGAGGACCCCGGGAACAAGGTTGAAACAACAAAACAAAAGTTTTGACGCCCTGGAAATCAATCTCTCGCTCAGGTTCGCAGACGTTATTTTCGGCGGAAACAAGCAACAGCTTAATAGCCTGAATTTCAGCCGTCTTCTCTGGTCACTCACGGCCGAGTGGCACTTATGGATGTTGAATCAAACCGGGGTTCTACCCGACGAGGGCAAGGATACTTTTCATGTTTTCTCAGGCACCCTCCCGACCAGAGTTTTGGAACTGACAAAATGTCAGTGAACAAATTACGTTCAATTCCACGATGTATGTTTCCTGTTGTATATTGAGGTTATAAAATGAAGTGAGATAAATGATTGATGGCCAACGGCTAACTCGTCTTTTTGGACCTTGTCGAGATGCTGGCAAAATTAGCCTGACTCCGGGAGTGTGTGACTCAAGGAGACGGCTACAATTCAGGCAATGGCGAGGTGATTTTTTCTTATTTTTTTCACGGCTCTTCTCTTAAAGAGAAAAATTTCTGATTACACACTTGCGAGGCATAAAGCAATAGCTACAGTTTGGCCCTCAATAAGCTAGATGTATGAAAATAAGTCGCGAAGTGTTTGCAGTTTGGATGAAATTCAGTTGATGTACACGTATCACGGCTATGCATGCAAAAATCGTCCGGACGGCTCATCATGACTAACTATCATGCGTACAGTTATTGAATTCAGGGAAATGATGGGATGTGGAGTGATTTGGACTGACATTTTTCGAATCAGGAAGGGTCAAGGGTAAGGGGTTAGGATTAAAGAACAGATTCGTCGGATGCTCTCTCGGATGTTTAATTAACAAAATAAATGTACACAATAATTTCATTTACGCTTGCATGTGTTTCAAGAGCAATTCCAGCTACTAATCCGACGGTTTGAAATTTTGGTGTGTTTCAGAAAGTCCGTGCTTTTAGAATAGCAACAACAATAACTGAACAAACAACTTTATTTTTTTTGTTTGTCAACTTACATTGTAAATATTGGCTTAGCCCGCCGAATTACAAACGTTCTTGCTTATAAATACATAACAATAGGCAATTTTAAAAAAGTAACTAAAATAGAAAGGTGGGAAAGAACGAGAGAGGACTCAGCACTTTCATGTAGAATTGAGTGTGGAAAAGTGAGGAGTATCAGATTTATCAGATGATACACATGTACATCTATTTTGCTTTGGAAATAACCTTATTTAATATTTATTACGGTTTTTTTGCACGATCGCTCATCTATGCAATGGTTTTTCAAGTTCTAATTTTCCTTATCCTTGGCGTGGGACAAACATGTTGAGTTATTAGGCCATCGCTTCTCCGAAGCGGTAATAGGAATTATTTCTGACACAGAACCAATCCATAAATGAGTATTCACCGTTTTCTCCAGGTCCTGGAGATATGATTTTCTGTTCTGCCGACTAGAAGATCTAGATCCTCTGATACAAGCAAAGAGTTGAGGAGCTTGGTTCCCTCCAGTATTGGCGAGCTCCCCGCAAACTGAACGTTCCCAGAGTGTCCTTAAGGCTAAAACCGACCGCCACGATGATTCTCGACAGTTACTCAACTCGAGTCTTCATTAACTCATTTATATACTGGGTATAATGCAGCTGCCATTGCAAGAAACAGGAGAGAAAATGGCAAGCGTTTATCCCGTTGTGGATGACAAACAGTTAAATAGCTTGCGTAAATCAGTGGTGACTTTTTCTTTTAGTTCCTTAATTTTCCAGCAATATAAAATAGGATTTAAACAAGAATTAACATAAGTTGCAATGGCGCTGAAATGCAATGCGAACCGAGTAGAGTTGTTGAGTCCTTTGGCAAATATTGCGAACAGCGATGACAAGTATGGCATGTAACATACAAGAAAAAAGCCATAGATCCATAGCATGTTATTTACAGTTTTCTTATATTGAACCAGATTAAAGTCATTCAGCTTACCGAAGCTCGCCTGTTGGTGAATTTGTGCAACATGACGGCGAAAACCACGGCAAATACTCAAATAACACAGAGGAATTATTAAAAAACACATGAACAACCCAGTCGCCCCAGACAACAAATTGATTTGCCTGTTCCAAAACCAGGTACCCGACCAAACTGCTGCGAGGATCCACTCTGTCACAAGAATGCAAACAACTCGTCTAAGTTTGACGACTTCTCGGTATCTCAAGCGAAGATGAAAGGCGAGATATCGATCGATGGAAACTGTAGTAATGATTTCAAGCGAAACCCCTCCAAAGAAAGAAGTTGTCCTCCCATATGTAATAGCTATGACACAGTAATACCCCGGAATTTCTAAGATGATCATCAAGTAGTAAGCTGTAAACAGCGGAAGAACAATCAGTCCAACGAAAAGATCCGTCAGAGCCAAACTACATAACAAAGCTTTCGATGGAGAATGAAGAGACTGACATTTTGGAAGAGCGAGTAGGATCATGCTATTACCCAAAGTTGATGAAATTGAACATATCACGCTAAAAACACAAGCAGAGATGTAAACAGTCCTCGGGAACTGCTGAGCAGCGGGGTAATAGTGAGTGCTGTTAGAACTGCAAAATGATCTGATGAATGCCTCCATCATTGGAATAGAATTCAGGTCTGATCTGGATCAAACAGTTTCAAAGTGTCACGTGTTACTTCAGAAAAACGAGCTACCCGAATCTGAATAGCAGTGTATGAGCCTTGCAGCTGTCGTAAGTTGCCATGGCGAAAGACTTTCTCACGGTACGCGGAGAAGCGCTTAGGGTGTAACCGTTCAAAATTGTTCAGTTTAATTATATCTTGATGGTTAAATATGTAAGTTCATCAATATATGTGAAATAGTCTTCCGGCATTGAAGCAACACAGTATTCACGGATGAATGTCATTTTACATGGCAGCTTATTGCTTGTGCAAATTCTAGAAGACAAGGCTTTGTCAGATCCGATTTTAATAAAACTTACTGAATGACAGAATATTAGGCACAATTTCCTATTTTTCAGAGCTGTCTATTAATTTGAATAACTACCTTCTTTCTTTCTTTGAGAGAGTGCCCGACCTTAGTGCACATAAGGTTCAGCAGTATGACATGCTTTTTATTTTTTATGTATTTGTGCATTAGATCTTGTTGGGCCATGTCATTCTGATAACTTTTCCGGTTAAGAAAAATCCGTCCACTCTAACCCTTATGTTGCTTTCAGTCTGATCAGAAGTACACAAAAGTAAGCGAGAATTTCCCTTCAGTTGAAATGAGGGGAACAATGACTCCAACTTTCAATACCCTCACACCGCCAAATGTCATAACAACGCAAAATGTAATAACAACCTTATGTGTAATATAAATTGACGGTAAATTTAATTAAAGCTGGTAACTGTAAATGTAATAAAACTCAACCCTAAATACAATAACTAATGTGATATAATTTGTGTATGTCAGTTATAGAACTACATGCTGTCCAGTTCGAAATAATTCGATGAAAACTCCACGGAATGCCACATTTAGACGA